GGGGGGGGGGGGAGGGGAGGAAAAGGATCAAGGAAAAATGAACTTCGCGGGGTCGGACAATGGGGTTATTGCTATAATGATAGACGCCGTGTTACTATACATAAATACATATATATATATATATATATATATCCTTCTCTTGTTAATACACTACCTGGTGGTCTAAAGAATTTGGCCTAGAAATAGGAAAGAAGGGAATGGTGCGGGATCCACCCACGGCTTGCGTCGTGCAGCCGCCAAGTTGGGCATTTCGTCAACTACCAAAAGGAGATATCGCATGGAGTTTCACAGATACAGCGCATTTTAATATGCCGCAAAAGGAGCGTTTTTAGCCCTTTAGTCAAAAGTTATATTATACATCACTATCGATAGTGTCTGAGTTCTGTAAACGGGAACACAAAACATCGCACACTTAGGGGGATAAAACATGATTTGAATAGACCTTATTTTATAAGTTCTGCTTAAAGGGTAAGTCAAGGATTTACCGGCTGGTTGGATCGCAATCCGTAGTTCAGGAGGGCGGCTAAGGAGATCGTTACGTCACGGATTTCCACAAAAGAACAGACATGGGCCCCCAGGTCATGTAAATATAGCCTTTCACCTCATGCGTGACGTAGGATCCAAAGTTCTTTCCAACAATACAATGCCAAACGCCTTTGTACCTCTTCGCAAATTCACGTTTGATGTGCGTCGCTACGGCGTTCTCTACGGAATAGGTCTCAAAAGCTTCTATCAGGAGGACACGGGCATCGGTGATCATATTCTTCGGCATGTCCGCATTATAGTTAATATCCGATGATTTGGGCATGCTTTCTGAGCGCGAAGGAGGGGAATCAAGAAACCGGTACTCCTTTGCACGTCTACTATTTATTTGGCAAACACGCCTTCTTTTTTTTTTTTACAAATGAAGTTTTTCTAAATAATAGTTGATATTTAAAACTAGTAACACCAAAGACTATTTGTGGTCTTTACAAATAAAATGTATGTAAAAGAAAGACAATAATAATAACAACAATACTAATCATCACACAACAGTAGTTGCACTTTTCAACAATTGTTGCTATAATTATCTCACTCAAATTCTGTCCATATTCTTAAATATGTGGTATTTTTTTTCGACAGTTTTCGTTTCATGATAGAGTCTTTATCATCAAGACTCAAACGAAAAACGCACAGCCGATATGGAAACAGGTACACCTATACAAAGAACCACTATTTGTTTGTACAGCACCGACACTCTTCCTCCGCATGAGACCTAGCACCTTTGCAGAATATAGTTTATTTTCAGATGGAACCCGACTGGTTCTCATCCACACGATGTTCCCACCAAGCCCCAGGAATGATATCTACCACGCAGTCAAAATTAGGGGGTCACATACATGCGATACCCAACGCTTCGCGGGGATAAAATCCCACGGGAAAGATCCTCCTCCTCCTTCTTCTTCTTTTTGCCTCCTTTATTTTATTTGATAGAGAGGTAACATCTTACGGTGAAAAAGCAAATCCCTATCCCCAGGCTCAACTACCCTGAGCTCCTTGAAGACGCGTAAGATATTTCTTGTCTGCAGGGTTGGACTCTTTTATCATGGATAAGCCGCAGAAGAGTTCGAAAAAGTATCATTATTGGAGCTTAACGATCAGGCCTCGTGATCAGCATAACATCAAAGATGAAAATGCGGAGACGTACGGGATAGACCTGTGCATTTATTCCAGTCATAAAATAGATGCATACAGCTCAGTTTAGATGGTTTCACTATCGCAAAAAGATATCCGATCTGGATGAAAATTAGAGTAGACCTTTCATAGTTAAAGTTAGAATGGAAAAGAGGGGATCATACACATGACGAGTACAGAATGTCAGGAAAAAAAGGATAAGCTTTCTCCCAAAGATTGATGAGAATTAAAAAATGACGTATATATATGGATAAAATACAGTCTGGAATATTAAAAAGTACACCTAAAATAGAAATTAATAGAACAAAGTAGCGAGCGACACAATTCTCGGATGAAAATATAGTTTTAGTGTAAAGATATCTAAGGATATTGAAAATAATGAGGATAAAAGCGATAGAAATATCTATACTTTTTCTAAACACTCTTCCACCCGCTTTAAACATTCGCCTTTCTTAAAGTGGACACAACCGAGTAAAAAAAATAAATGAGAATTAATTATTATTATATACATTTCAATGGGGCAGCATGAGTGTGCGCTGTTGTTCAAGAACCTTGTACAATTTCCGAATTGTCTGCTCTTTTTGAGCCAAAGACTGCTTATAGCCTTCGATTTCGGACCGATGTTTTTCCTCCGCCTCTTGCAAGGCCGCCTGGACGCGAAAATTGTTCATCTCCATCTCGACGTGCAGCGTTTCGTTTTTGCTTTGCGATTGGTGTTGTCGGAAGACCTCGTGCAGGCCTCGGGATTGGGCCTCCAGATCGCCCTGGACGAGGCTGAGGTGGGCGATATCGGCGTGGACCTCCTCGGCCCGCAGCGCGACCCTCTCCATCACCGCGTAGAGCTCATTCAGCTGGTTGACCATCTCGGGCGGGGAGAGGAGGTGGAAGTGCTTGCGAAGGGCGCGGGCGTGGTCCATTAACGGCCGGAGCTCCGCCTCGACGGTGTGGAATTCGGTCTTCACCAGGCCGATGGACTCCGCCAGGGCCTTCCGGCGATGGGTGATGACCTCGATCTCGCTCGCGGCCGCGGCGGAGCCGATCCGCATCGTCGGCGAGGCCGCGGCCGCGGCGGAGATCGGCTTGAACGCGCGCGCCTTCAGGGCGGCGGGGAGGACCTGCAGGAGCTCGATCGTCTCCGTCTCCAGCAGGCCGAGATGGTTGGTGGAGGGGATCGCGAAGGCCCCGAGCTCCGCGATGGCGAGCGAGGCCAGCTCGGGCGGCTGCCGCGCGCAGAGCTCCCACACCGGCTTCGACACGACCACCTGCCCGCCCTGGGCGAGGGCGGCGATGTGGAGGAGCTGGGAGAGGGCCTTGCCGTAGTAATGCCCGCGACCCTCGCCGCCCGCCGCGGGGATCGCGGAGTCCTCGAGGAAGCACTCGCCGGTGTGCACCGTCATCGCGATGCGGAGGCCGTTAAACAGCGCCCCCGCGGGCGAGGCCTCCTTCCCGCAGAGCCGCCTCCCGACCGGGGTCGCGAAGGCGGGCCAGGGGAGCCCCATCAGCCACTGCTGGGCCTCCGCGCAGAATCGGCAGGCGGCGACGGCGCTCTCGAAGGCGAGGAGGGTCGCGACCTCATCGCTATAGCACTCATAGCCGCCGTAGGCCGCCATCTTCACGCGGATTGTGTGGTTGTGCAGCTCGACGGCGGTCCGCATCGTGGTGGGCTCGTACCCC